TCTCAAGTTTTTGCCGAGGTGTCTGCGAGCTAAATCATGTCGCGAGGTAGCCTTTGAGAAAGGTTTACCTTAACCACATGTAAGGAGTTCCACCATCGCTTAACCACGCCCAAACTGAATGTAACATTGTACACTTCTTTCGGACGAAACGAGAAATGAATGGCGTCTCCGTGTCCTCGTGCGTGAACGCTCACCGTGTTGAAGCACGCGCTTAACCGTAGGACGTTCCCAGAGCCGCGTACCGCACCCCGAGACACCCTCCTTCCGGTGGGGGCACGCCGTGCGTTTGCCGCGAAAGGCGCCAATAAAAGCCCGTTCCTCTCCTCGGTCCGGTGACTGTGACAAACGGTGACGTCACACACACACGTTCGTCTGCGCAGCGGTGGCACGTTGGAAGGGTAGAATCTCGTCTAGTCACGCTTGGCGCGAGGCAAATTGAAAGCCCCCATAGAGAGATTCCAGGCTGGGTCGGGGAGGCACGATGCGAGGAGCCACATCAACAGCCACGGCCGGGGCGGCTGCTTACCATATTGACTGGCACATAGTAGGTCGCACTTCCGTTCGTGAACCTACTGCCCTGGAAAAAAAAACGGGCGCGTCAAATAGTCCAGTCACGCGCTCTGTGCAGAAATCCTTTGTCTGTTTTGATTCGCGCTCGCTCGCTGGGATCGACTGCTCTCGCATTATGCATACACGCGCGCGCGAGCGCGAGCGCACGTTGCGACTCTGCTTCTCAAAAATCCTCCCGGTTCAAAGAAAAGAGACACCGTGGTGGTGTACGGCATGCTCTTCCTAAAAACAACAACAAGAAAACATAAACTAAGTCCCTGGGTGTCCTCCGCGGAGCTCGAGAGACACTCATCACGAAAAAACGTGTACTCCCGCGGTCTTATGGAGTGCTGCAAGGGACGTCGGACCTCGCAAGCCACAGCGCGGTTGACGCAGTGTCATCGTTTGTCTCCAAAGGGTCTGCCACCGGAGGCGCCGTATTGTCCCGCTCCGTTGACATGTGACTACGACGACGCGGGGCACCGAGTAGCAGCTTTCGCTTCCCAGACGCTCGCAGGTCGTGGAAGGCTCGACGCACACACAACACACGCAAACCCGACGGCTACGGCGCGAGCGCGTGTCTGAACGCATATACAAAACCATCGGCTAATGTCGGTTTTCCGGAATCGCTTCGATTCCGGCCGCACGAACGTTCGGACAGAGCGGTGTTTGATCCACTTGTCTGAGCCTGGCAGCAGCGTCGTCAAACTTTGCGCGGCATTGTTTCCGGGATCGATTGGGGAGGCCGAAGATTGTTTTCTTAGAACAGCGCTTCCCTGGAACCGCAATGCTTCTTCTCCTTCCATTGTTTTTTTCTTCTTGTTTTTAGTGAGTGTGTTTGCGTGTCTGTATTATTTTGCCGCCCATCAAAGTCCCAGATCATGCGGCTGCTGACCATCGGGGCAATAATCCAGATCCTTTTTGTTGTAGGTACAACAAACGACGCGCATCACTTTTTATGACGGGAAGGAGTAAGGAGTTTGCTTTGTGATTTGATCCTTACGTTCTAATGTTTTGTCTTATAGGTTTTTGAACTCTCTGACTTTGGTTTTTGTAGCTAACCTTTTCGTTCCTCTCAACATTTTTTTTTTTTTTTTTTAACAGAAAAGAGAGAGACATTGACTGGCCCTTTAGAGGTTCCGGCTACTTTTTTGCATTTGAGAACAAATTATGGATCTTCTTGCTAACTAGAAATTGCACAAGTTACGGAATCAACTTTGAAAAAGCATCCAAATAATCAAACATTTAGTATTGTTTCTTAGAAGTAAGAAAATGTCATCCTATCTTAAAGTTTGTTGAACGCCTTAAGAATCGGTTTGTAGATGAACGCACCATCATAACTTTCGTCGTCATCATCACTCGTACTTATTTTCATTCATCAACGAGTAGATCAGTCAATCCCTCCTGACGACTAACAGCCGAGTTACACCTGTAAACATTCCATCAACCCTATTTGCAGGTTTCCGAAAAAGTAGTTTACTGGCCATCAGGCTGCCTTCTGCACAAACGGTCACTGAAAACCACTTTTAAAAAAATGGGGTGTCGTCGCGGCATATGGATTTAACCATTATTGTCAATCGGGGGGTATAATAACTTTTGGGAGGGGATTCGGGCAAGGGGGAAGGGTGAACCAAATAGGTTTTTGTACTTTGTATAGAATATCCTGGGCGGAGGGGGGGGGGGGGGGGGGATATGACTCAGCGTGGAAGTGTGCTAAGGACTAGGAACAAATTATTGTTGTGGCGGATCATGAGAAAGGAGCTAATGAAGGTTACCAAGAAGGAATTTTCGTCATGTCTTAAAGTAGAGTTCGTCCGATGTTCGTGTCGTGAGGACTCGGCTGTCGATTCTTTCGTTCTCCTACTGCAGCCGTTTATTCTTGGGGGCATCTAATGCCACTTCGAATGATACAGTCGGCTGCACAAAATGGCCCACCGTCTACGATGGTAACGAAAAGAGACAGCCAATTAAGAGACAAGTGCCGTCTCCATACGTCTCTCGCTAAAGGGCCGCAAACACCTACGGCTTGTTCCGGAGCGAAGCATTTACGGTGCTTAGTATGCACCTCGCCTCCGTGTAGCCCGAATGATCCGTCTCTTAAAACTTGGCCGTTGGCCACGCTGTGCGCGGGCAACGTAACACGGAGATCGGTAAAATGGAATGCTTTGTGAGACCACTGGGAACAACAGCCGGGTCAGTTGCCGATCGGATTTCTTTCTTCACACCCTAGGCCTTCCTTTTCGTTCTTCCACTGGCCTCTTCTGTTGTGTACGAAGTACTCCATCGGCCGTGGCAATCTGAGACCAGGAAGTTGGCCCGGTCGAATAATGAATGGAGCTTCAAAATTAAGAGCGACAGAGAAGCAGGCTGGGAATATCCGGAAGTCGATCTATTTGGAATGGAATGCAAAACCGTGCTTCGGTAGAGCTTCAACATGCGGGAGTGGTAGATCTGACTGATCAATAATCTCAATTCAGGTGGTACGTATCGTACGTGTGTATAAACGATGAATATATTAAAATGCAAAAGCGGCAGTGAGCTGAAAACTAAATACTGCCGCTCGCATGGCGGAGTTGGCAACGCACGTGGCTGGCGCGCGGAGGCGCGGGGTTCGAACCCCGCTCGGCCCAGGTTTTTCTTTTTATCAACCTTTGCTCCTCTCAAAATTCTACTCCATCCACTGCTGTCATCGTGTGGTCATGTTCCAGAACGTTCCTGAACGTTTACCGTGTGTGAAAGAACCGCGGAAACGCGCTGCTTTTGGACAGTTGCCCTTCAGTCGCCGACGCCATATGCGTTGCACCTCCCTTTTAAAGTTTGTAAGTACAGGTTAGCGCAAACGTTTCATTTAGTTTTCCGTTCAGTCTACTTTTTTTTTTTTATTTATGACGATACAGCGTTGGAGGAAAAGTCGATTCTTTACGCCAGAAAGTGGGCAGAGAGGAATATAGCGGTTTTGTACGGGCTCAGCGACATACAAAAATGAATAGGGAAGATTAAAAAGACCATACACGAGAAAGGGGATAGCGATCTGGGTTAACTTGCCCTGAGTTAGCTTGCCTACGCTCTTCACTTATGGTTTCGCGGAGCATTATGGAAGGCATATGGACAAGAGCGGCGTGCGCTTATACGAGAATACCCTTCTTGTAGCGGGGTTTCGACTCTTATACAAATGCTATACTCAACTTCACACTAAATTCGACAGCAGCCAACGATCCGAGGAGAGCCAATCAAGCAGCACCAAAAGTGTATCGTCACGGCGCTCGATTCGTCTTTGTGCGTTTGCTATGCGGAGCGCAAGTTTGTCTGCTTCTTGCACAGGGGTGGCGATGATGTCAGAAAGATGCCGAGCTGTTATTGACCGATTGAAAAAAAAAGAAGAAAATAGTGGGTAAACCTCAGGGCATCTAGCAATGAGGTCTACCCGCTATCCCTTCAGTCAAGGCCAATCGGAACTCGGCGTCGCTCTGACGTCACCACAACTCCTGCTCAAGAAGCAGACGACTTGCTCCCCCATAACCGGCTTAGCCAATCACGCACAACGACTGCGCCGCGATCCAGCGCATTTCTTCTGCTCCTGATTGGTTTAGCCGGTAATGTCAACCTCACAAAGACGTAGACGATGAACGTTCGGCGATGAACCCTCACGATGAACTTCTGGCTCTGCTTGATTGGTTCCGTCGAATCGTAGCGTCGGCTGCGCTCGGTCTTAGTGAAAAGCAGAGCGTATGACACCGGGGATATCCATAACTGGTGTCTCGAGTACATCCCGGAGCAGTATTCGCAATTTTAAGGGAGGCGACGCTACCCTGCGTCAAAGACGTGACTTTTTTTTTTTTAGAAGAGGGGGTGGGGCTCGTGCCTGACGAAATGCTCAGCGAAATCGTGCATGGCCTGGTGGCGAAAATGCGAAACAGGGAAACGAGAAGTCCCATGAATGGATCCATTCGGCGACTCCGTTGGACTCGTGGATAGATATATACTCGCGGGACTTCTGAAACTGCATCTGCCCGCCTGCTCGCGTGTCTCTCAGGTGGCACTGTTCGATAGGATTGTACACAGCTTTCCTTTTCCACAACGCCGTCATTCTCAGATATTCCTCTTTCCCGTCCCGGCAGACGACGCCATTTTTGAGATCGCCGGGAGGTGAAAGAGACGAGCGTACGTCAGCGTTCGGCTGAGAATTCGGGTCGCTGCTGGTCGGAGACGGTTCAACGCCGAACGTTCACGCAACACTCGGGTCCAATCAGCGTCCCACGTTGGCACTTTTAGGTAACATCAGCAGTAGGGTCTTGTTTTTAGGTGGCGCTACTAGCCATGCTCAACAAAAGTGTGTCGTCTGCTGAGAGTGGATGGTCTCTCTCCCTCCCCCCCCCCCCCCCCTTTTGGAGAGGAGCAAACCGCCAGTGGATATGTGGTTTGCGTCACTTTTCCGTGTACAGGGTGCGTACCTGAAGATTACGTTGGCCGGATTGAGGCTCTGCGTGCCGGGCTCGTTGGTGACCACCTCTGCTCGGAAGCCCCTCTCGTCGGCCACGTAGTTGACTCGCCGGCTGTGTCCGTCGGCCGTGCGCAGAGTGTAGAAGCCCACCACGCGGCCGGTCACGTCCGACGACTCCGAGCGGGCGTGCGACGAGCCGTCTCGGGGGTCCGTCGCCGAGTAGCTGAACGAGTAGGGCCGCCGGGGCGCCGGCACTGACACCGGGCTGTCCTCCTGGAAGCGGCGTTCGGCGAGGCTCAGGAATCGATCTCGACTGCCGTTTGCTTCGTGTAGCGCCCCAAGGCAGTGGACAGGAGATGAATGACTGGGAGACGTGCGTGACCAAAAACGTCTCTTTGGTCGGCATTCGCGATTGGCCAAACCATTGCTTCTTGTATACAGATAATGCCTGTCCAATCGCCGGTTGACGGCGAGGAAAATTTTTGCAATCACAACGAGGCGAATCAAGAGGGCGCCACCGAAACATCTCGGCGCTCATAGTGCGGTTGGTGGCCGAGAAGGGTCAGCTTTGGGCAGGCATATATCCATCGAACTATTGGGCACAATCGCTACGTTAGAGTCCGGCAGGGCACTCGAAGACTCTAGGTCGGGTACAATCATCCGTCCGCGGGCCGTTTCAAGGTGATGAACACACCGCACAAGATGGCGCCACCTGTCAAACCAAACGTCATTGCCAATCTCGATTATGATACTAGCCAGTCCTCGCACGACAGTTTCTTTCCGTAAACACACTTCTTTCAGACTCAACGAATTCGACGGGGTTTATTTGTACAGTTTCCAATATCTGAAATCACTAATGGGAAATTCCCTTGGTGGACTTGGAACGATTCAAAAGCTCTCCTGGCTTGCGCCTTTAGCGCGCTTGCACGTCCAAGAAGACAAACAAAAAAACGCTCCACCATAACTACTCCGAATCCACCAAGGGAATTTTCCATCAGCTGTGTCGCTTACATCAACTATTAACTGCGCTCTCTTTTGTGGGTAGAAATTAAAAACAGCGCAAAGACACGGACAAGAACGAGAAGGTCAACGTCTATTTTCGTTTACCTCCTTGGTCTTGTCCTTGTATTCGCGCTGTTTTTAATTTTTAACCATAAAATACCAACTAGCGTCAACGTTAGTCGACTTCTCTTTTGTACAGGTATTGCTAACCGTCAGCTTATGTTTGTTTAATTACGGTATATTTTATTGTTGTTGTGAAGTCCTCACTTCCCTCTGTAATTTCTCAAATCCCGAGGGTAAGATAAATAACATTAAATAAAAATTGCCAGTTGCACCGCACTCTGTCTGTTCAGATATGTTGTTTTGTCAGACATAAATAACCGAAGCTAGGCTTTTCACTTTGTTTTCGAAAAGCAGGTACAGCCAAGGGGTGTGACTTCGGATTTCCCCGGTTGCCTCGCCTGTGCGTCTTGGATCTGCTCAGGAGGCAGGATTTCGTCCATCCGGGCAGCCAGCTCCGCAGCGCCAGGGAAGGCCCCGTTGCCAACGATGAAGCTGAGTAGCACCGCTGAAACGGTGACCGCATCCGCCTGAAAACGATGAGGGGCAGCTTTTACTACAAGTGCTGACACTCCCTGCATGCACCATGTAGTCCGGACTTTCAAATCAGCCGCTTCGATTAAGCGTCGGCAATGCACCATAACCTTCGAACTTCCAGTGTATCATTTGCGAACATTCGAAGCCCGCGACAGCCTAAAAGACAAATGTATGCCTTCTCTTTAGGCTTCTAAACAAAAAACAAAAAAAAGTATATACAAAAATTTTAAAAATTCCGCCATCACATCAATTATTATTATATTGGGATGAGAGATACCAAATGGGACAGTTACGTTTTAGAGCGCAGCTCTTAGGCGCCCGTTTACGGGTTGAATAAGCGCGCGCGTTGCATTATGGGACGTTTCCCCGCTAAAGTTAGCGGGGAAATGTTCCCGTTAAATTTAGCAGGGAAAACGACGTCACGTGACCTCAACACCAATTCAGTTTTCCCGCTAAATTTAGCGGGGAAAATGACGTCAGGACTTCGTGTCACGTCGCCCATGAACAAATTCAGCGGCAGGAGGAGACAAGGAGGAAAGGAGGAAGAAGGAAGGAGGGGGATGAGGAAAGAGGAGAAGGGGCAGGAGGAGGAGGGTAGGAGGGTCGGAGGAGGGGAAAGGCATACTTTCCCCTCCGTACCCTGCTATCCATCTCCTCAAGGGCAGCGCTCTAATTTCGCGTTACAGAGATTTGTAAACATATTTATTTTACCATGCTGATCAGAAACGTTATTGACCTTTCGCTTCACACCCCCCCCCCCTCCCCCCCCCTCCCCCTCCCCCCCCCCTCCCCCCCCCCCCCCCCCCCCCCCCCCGCACTGCAAATTGCACTTGAGTAAAGTCCTGAGCAACACCGATGCTCTGTGTGAAGTGTGAACAACGGGAAAGGTATCTTTGGGGAAATTTTTAGTTTACACATACACAAATACGTTCGTATAGGTGGTATTTTATTCGCACGAGTTTTGCACAGCTCTTCCACATATACTACTTGGAGGCGTCTTAATTCGATGAAAAAGTAAGGTGTCGTATTTTAACAACATGACAACCTTTTGCTCCTCATGCCATTTGAAGGTGCCGCTAGTACGTAAACTCAAAGTCCCTGTTGCGCACGATCTTAGAGTTCGCGACCGGCTAAACCGCTCCGTAGAAATAAAAAGGCTGACATTTAGGGTCTATAGTCAGAGTAGCTGGAAGTGATTGTGATACTGTAAGATCCTCAGAGGTGAACCGATGCAAACCACCTTAAGCGCACATCTACGCCTGACTGGCATTGCCATCAATCACAGCAAACAAGAACAAAATGATCTCCGAAACTCAAATTCAAACTTGACAATATAAACTATTTTTGTTTGCTTATTGAATATACCTAACCAACTATACCAGTCAAAAAAGAAAAAAATGGTTTTAAGTTATGCGAAACAGTTTCCACGCGCTACCCACTGTAACGTCGTCAACCGTGAATAGCAAGAGACAAAGCCGCAAAAAAAGAAAGCACCCCGGGTTTCGTGCAGCTGTAAGCAAACCCTCTCGTGACGCCATTCGTGAATCCGAACACACGAGACACCTGCGTAACGAAGAAGGTCGTCACGAGATGACGGGCAGGGAAGGCTCCTTGGGGACAGCGCGGTAAATAGCCCCCATCCGCGATCGGGCGCTCGCTCAGTGGCTCGGCCGTGAGCTGCCGACGAAAACGGTATGACCTCCCCGGCTGATCCCCGAGCCACCACCTCTTCGTGACGAGCTTGGAGCACCGATACCTCGGGCGTCACGCCAATAAACACAGTGACCGGTCTGCGATAGAGAGCCTAGATTGAAGAGAGCGAGCAACTGAAACCGTGCAAAACGGTTTGCAGTTTAATCATGGCGGACGCTTATTGGGCAGGATTGGTCCCAAAAGCGCGTGAGTGGCGTTGTCGCGCGGCGAAAAGGGAAGCCGGCAGAAAGGCGGAAACGCTTGCAGACGATCAACGCTCTTGTCTCCTTTTCGCAGCTCGTATTGCAAACGCGGCCCATCATAAACCACGTGACCCGATTGAGCAGTTGGAGACACTCTCAAATCTAGGCACACCTATACACTGCAGGCTTTGGAAGCTGGCCGAGCACTAAGCAGCCCTCATTTCAAATCATTGCCGACGATTATCAGCAGTGCGTGTTTCGGCGCTGTTGTCGTCCGCTTAATTGCCGTCGGTCGTAAGCGTGGTCATTAGGGACGGATATTGCCAAAACATGATCGGAATACAGCCAAGCGAATGTCTGTTTGCTCCTCAATGCCCGCATTCATATGGTTGAACTTTTCTTGCGACTTTGGAGTTGCGGCGTTCCAACCAATGTATTTTCTTCTTTTCTTTTTTTTAGTCGCAACAGCGACGTCACAATTGCAAAATCGCACGTAAACTCGCGCTATGTGAATCGGTCTGTACGCAAATTTGTATTCCCGTGTCGTCTGTATACGCATTCTGTTCTCCTTTCGCAGTAAGCTCTTCACGCGACTGGCTGCAGTGATCCCTCCGCCACGTCATGAACACGTATTTTGGTTGGTCCGCTAAAAGATCTAACGCGAAGTAAACATAAAAAAAAAAAAAAAAAATTGTACCCGCTCGGTGTTTGACTCAGCGTCCCATCAAAAACCAAGAAGAAGAAAAAAAAAAAAATAAAACGGGTTTAGAAATGACACTGAACAAAACCTATGGGAGAGAAAGGAGGCTGTCTAGGGAACATTCCAGCCTGTCACTTCGAAACATGCATGGAGCGCGCATATTTCTCTCTCCACGTCGCTGGAACGCCGTTAGCGTAAACTTGAAACGACGGAGCAGCGAGAGTTGTATGCCTTCGTATACCTCCGCTTCCGGTCTGCAGCCTACGGTACTCCGTTTTATATACGTCAAACTGAGATAATAACTAGTGTGCCTATAGCCGAAGTAGTAGCTTTCTCACATCCTCAGTTGTGGAGGAGATTCGAATAAGGCTACGGAAAATCATGACTAGAACCAATAAACAGTAGAATGGCTGTATTCTAGTTGCATTCTACACAAATCATTAGGGACAATTTTTATTTTAACTTCATTATTCGAGACCGGACGCTTCCGCGCGTAAATTAGGAGCTCTCAAGTTCAAATACCGATGAAACAAAATACGAGAAACAAAGTATAACATTCGTCTCTTCTCTGCAAATATGTTTTCCCTTCCTTTATTATTTAGATAATTCTGAAGCACAAAAATACAGGGTGCACGTTAGTCAAAATCCTTAATGTGGTCTAAATGAAAACTTCAACTTTTACTGAGAAGTACCGGATAGATCTTCAATGGCTTGATCTTTAAACCTCAGTTTTTCGTTCGAACATTTTTTAAATATTTATCAAAGGAATAAATGCTTCTCGACGGAACCCTCGAATCCCAGCAATTTGTCTGTCCGTTCATCCATGCGTTTCCCCACCAAATTTAGCGGGAAAATTTACATCACTTGACCCATATACCAATTTAGGCTCTCCGATTAATTTAGGAGGGAAGTCACGTTATCTGACGTTAGGTGGCGTAAATTTTCCAGTTGAATTTAGTGAAGAAATTAGTAAACAATGGGTTCTTTCCTCCCGGAATGGTGATCTCTCCTTAAATACTGCATTACATGCGTTAGGTGTCTTCGGAGATAAAGGTCGCTGTCAATTTTTTATTGATCGCGCCTATGTACACCGAACAACGCAAAGCCTCCGAAGCCCGAAGGGCAAGCATTTCAAACCCTCGACTCGCCTTAAAACACCGAAACACCACCGAAACACGAAACGCTGTCTCTACGGTGATTATAAATGGAGATCGCGGCATGTCGGCTCGAACAGGGAGAAGGCCTTTGCGTTGCATACGCGCGTTGACAGATTCAAGAACGTAGCGCGGCGGCGAAACCCGTCCTGAATGCACCTTGAAGACAGGCGCGAAGACCCCCGTGTTGCTCTAAAAGCGACAAGGCGTCAGCGTGACTCAGCTCATTCCACAGATGCTTAGACACGCATGGAGGAGGCGTGGGCGCCTTTCGCGCCGCTCATCAGCACCCACCGCGAAGAGGCTGCATGCGACGCGCTCACAGGCGCGCCACTCAATGGCTCGGAGAACACCTCTAACTGCGCATACTAATGCCTAACTTCGCAAACCAACCACCTCGACTGTGTGCCAAGCAATAAAAAGAATGCATCCTAAATTACCTCAAGAAAGAAACGACAAAGAAGCATGCATCCTGCAGTCTCCGACGCCCGCTGATTTCACGCGCTGTTTCTCGCTCTTTGCGGAGCGTAAAGCAAGTAAATATTAAATGTAGTTTACCCAGATGAATGGGAGAGTAAGGCCGAAACCCGCGGCCGAATTTATGCGCGTTGAATACGTTTGTCGTGAGCGGGGCATTCGAGAAAGAAAGTCTGAATTTAAAATATGCATTTCCCGATTCGCCGACTAAAAACATGTTGGCGACTAAAAAAAATTACCGGAAAGAGGAAAAAATCCGTATATAATTGCGCCTCTCTTCGTCCAAATTGTGCCTCGTATCTATATATGAGCACAGACAAGACGTAGCTTGTTTTAAAAGTTGATCTGCACTCGAGTCATCTTGGGCAATCCTCGAGTATATTCACATCCATAAAATCACCGACTCTGATCTTCCATCTGATACTCGTCTTCTTTTATTTATTTTTTTATTGTTCTTTTGTCGAGTTTTTTTTTTTTTTTTTTTAAATTAATTTTTAGCTTTCTAGTTTTCTGAGACCTGTCTGTTATAAACTCCGTATTTTATTTGCATTCTTGCACATATTTCTTTTGTCACTAGAACCCTCCCTGTAACGGCCCTCAAGAGAGGGCGAACAGTTTTCTGATAAATATATAAATAAAAGTATCCACTCAGTGGGCTTCACGTGTTCCCAAGCTAACCTTCTCTTTCTTCCATTTATCTTCATCACGATCGCTCAACGTCCAATAAGTCCACTATTTATGAGCAGACACAGCTTAGTCCGTTGCTGCTGAGCTCGTGCTGACGGTGAGCTTCCACAATGCTTCCGTAACGGTATACCTTCCCCATTACCAAGACTGTCGTCGTCAGACGGTCAGTGGAAACTTGTTCTGAGGATGTGCTGTGACTAAGGTGCTGAAATACGCCGTCCGATGTGTATTCACTAACTTCCAGTGGTCTAGTGCTTAACGGCCGGACCAAATATGCGTTGTCACTGGACTCTGAGGAATGCGCAACGTACCTTATATCTCAGAAAGGAATCATTACGCATTGGTAAAACGCGATCCACGGCCCAGTAGGCAACGATGGCAGCCCGCAAAAAGGTAGTAACTGAAATCGTCGAAATCGTTGAACACCATCCAGCTTACCTTCATGATCGCTCAGTCCAGATCCAGTCTCGAGCACACGACGATCTACCGACGTCCGTCCAGGCACCACAACACAAGACTTTCTCCCTGGAACGCAGGCCATGCCCTTATATAAGGACCAGGGACCCGCTGGACCCAACCACGAAATCAAGAAGGGACGGGTGGGCGGGCGACGAAGGACCTTGCCCGCCATTCAGACCGCAGCGTGTGCCAATGCTGGATGCACCTTGCAGCGTGAAAAAGAAGAAAAAAAAAAAGAAAACGAAGACTCCGGCGTCGCAATGCCCGCGGTTAATGAGCCGATAGAAGCATCGTGCAGGTTGGCTGCCTCGTTGCGTCACGGCGGAGCGTCCGCTCCCGTCGTCCACTGTGTGACATCTGCTAACGAGACGGCGACCAGGAGGTGCAGATTCAAAAGGTAAGGTCATCGAGGTTCGGCGGCGGTGTTGAAAGCTCCGAGAGGGTGCCTCCTCGGGTTCCTCCGGTCGTCGCGGCTGCCTCGCCGTCTGGCCCATCGCCGCCTCTCTTCGTCAAAGGAGGGGTTCAAAGGAAGGCGGAGAAGCGAGCTGATCTGGAAGTCTGGTCAGGTGGTGCGTGATGGTCTCCGGATCCCTGGTCCCTCCTGCATCGACGTCTGCTCCCTCCTGCATGCGCTGCATACCGATGTTCACTTTGTTGTTCTGTCGGCAAAAAGAGAAAGCTCTCCTGAATTATGCTTGAACGCCTGGCGATATATAACTGGTATGGCCGCTGGTCACTGAACTGAGTGTGCACGTGAAAAAGTAGATTTTCCTTGTTACTAATATTGTTTTTATAAAGTTTGAGGGGGGTATTTATATGCATGTTTGCATGGGTAGAAATTGAGCTATGCATGGATATGCTGGGGCATGCAAGGAGGTTCAACAAAACAATTGCCTCTCACCTCGTGCCGTATTTTATAACTGAACAAATTATATGGGTCACTCGTTGGCACGGGCTATACCTTTGCCATTCAACCGGATCCTCTACAGTACCAAGTTTGATGCCAGCATTGCAAGTACTGACTCTTCAGAATATTAAAATTACAAGTAATCATCGTACGAGCTAAATTTTAAAATAATAATTATCTCGTAATCATATTTAATGAAAACATCTCAAACCTCTACAGTTTCTGTTTCGGTGCATTATTTTACTAGGCTTTGCGTTCTTTGTGCTGTGACTGTGCAAGAAAAGCACATAATTGCATCAATCGCAACATAGTTATATTGCTTCAGCTGCCTGTTATAAACGCATGTAATATTGATTGTTACAAATAGAAAATGTTCTTAAAATGCTAAGTTTTGTTACTGAATCAAGGTACAAAATTGTATTTATTAAACGATCTACTAAAATGTTATGACCTAAAACATATGAATACTATTCTAATTCAAAATGAGCCTATAAATACTTCTAGTAAACAGAGTCAGAGGTGTATTTCACGTGTCGGACAAATATATTAAAATTAGAGAAACACTGGCGGTTGGAGCATAAGTGAACAACTATACAGTGTTTTGTGAACTTTTTTTTTATCTTCTTTGTCCTCGTATGACATGAAGTCATAAACCTTACTTTCTTCGCACGACGCCGGTCTTGCCACTCAAGAACCAAGTACAGCACCATAAAAAAAACTTACAGATAATTGTTTTATACTTTTTTGTATATTCTAAAGGGTGAACCACCTTATACATCACCGTATTTCCTTATAGTGAAAGCTACACTTCATTTTTACAAAGGTGCATATAAATAGTCAACACAGGAGTATGCTAACGTTCGTAGGACAAGTTAGAGTACTTCTAAAAATATATACTTCGTCTATCGAATTGCGCTAGCATAATTATTCTAATGGATTTTTCCGACAGGAACGTAACCTGTCTTTGGGAATGCTGTTGTGCTAAACCTTTCATCCGAGAAAAAGTAAATGTGCAGCTTTCAACTAAAAGCGCCCATTAGTTAAATCAAAGTTCTATTTTTATTTACGGCTAATGTCATAACGCGGGCTGCAGAGTTGCTATGATCCAACAAGATTGGAAGCACAACTCCACCAAGGTATATCGATAACAAAAGAAATAAATGTTTTCCCTTTGCGAAAACAAAGAACAAAGAAAAGAACTTGATGTGGCATTGCAGTTGCCCGTTGGTACACGTTACTAATAAGAAATAATAAGTTTTAATTAGAACAAGAAGTTATTAAAAATTCGCGGCGAAAGAATTAGCTGATTACCGCATGCCGAAAATAATCAAACGATTAGTTCAAAAGTAATATTTACTTCTTTTTTTTTTCTCAAATAGCTTCAGTGGTTACGTAAATATTAGGGCTTGTTGGCTATACTGCACATGTTTCAACAAAGGGATCAGTTCTTATTTAGTATGTCAGTCAGCCATTTTATGTTGCTTATAAGAGGTTAAGTAAATAAAAAATCTAGAGAAGCCAAATCGTGATTTCTGGTAGGAAAGGCAGCCTGCAATATAGTCACCTCAAGGAATGATCCAACTACCCTGTGCATTAATTGTTCTAAAAGCGATATAGTAAAGTAAATAAAGTATTTCTCGTTCAGTTCTTATTTACTGCGTTAGTCACTGATTTATTTGTTGGTTACACGATGCTAAATAAATATGCATGATGCGTGGAGGCCCTACACTGAACTCTGCTAGAAAAGAATGTCTTCAATATAGTTCCCTCAAGACGTAATCGAATTGCCCAGTTTATTACATGTTCTAATACCCCAGTCAGACGGCGTTCTTAAGCTCCCTTTCATTAAGCTCCGTTATATAATCAGCCAGTCAGCTCGCGATGTTGAGTGCGCACGTGCCCTACGGCGTGCGCTGGTTCGCCAATTTTATAAAGGAGCTTAGTGAAAAGGAACTTTCGAACGCCGTCTCACAGGGGTATAAGAGGGAAGTAAAAAAACAATTAAAAAATCACTAATAAAGTACTTGTCATTTCATCACTCCCATACGAAAGTCAGACATGGCGTGTAGTTCATTTACATTGCAACGTCATTACTTGGACAGCCACGTCTCCCCTTTGTCGCCTGAGACAACGGAGTTGTCAGCACCTGTCAAACTTCGAGAGAGAGAGAGAGAAAGACACAAAACATTGTTACATTCTTTCGATGCTGCGCTAAGCCTCCCCATCTCACATGGTTGTTCCTACCTATTCAGTGGCTCTAGTTGTTCCCTTTGCAAGGAGAATACTCGGTGCGTACCACTAATCCCGAAAAAACTTGACAGCGTCCGACGCAGACCTTCTGTCCGTCCACACGAGGGACAAAGAAGCGGCGGGGAGCGACCCTCGAGACAGCCGATGTTTCAGTTTGTCATGCAACGGAGCCGGGCGCGCGGGCGTTGTTGTTGCGAGCGCGCGATGCTCTGTGACTTGCGTTGCGACACGCGGCTCTCGACGGTCGGACGGTGAGCACGACGACGACGACGACGCTGGACTATACGCACGCTTCGACTGTCATGTCGCCGTGTGTGCACCTCTTGCGCATGCACCTGAAACCTCGTGCCGATCGTCGCCAATAAATAATTCTTGGGATTCGCAGCGTTGAAAAAGCGGACGGCAACAACGTAGCCTAAGTCGCGATCGCAATGCAAATACAACGTACAAAAAAAAAGAAGAAAAAAAAAAGGCAGTCTTTACGGACACTATCTGAGCCTTGTTTCTTTCTTGTGTGACGCTCACTTTAGTCATACAAAAACTTTCTGCAAACATGTTCGAAGTATACATAAAATGTACGAAGCAAGCAAGCTTCGAAAAAGCTCGAGGTGTTATCGCAGGTACTTCTCTCATCATGTCTGCAGCGAGAACACCGTGTCTTTTGTACGCCACGTCAGTGTGAGCGCCGCATGAAGGGATATGTTTTGGCTGATTCACTCTAACAGCACCAACAAGAATCACTCTAACAGCTCATTTCCACTGGAAGCGGATCCGCGTTCGCAAAGCGGTTGCGAACGCGGTTGTATAAAGATCCAGTGCTATTGCATGCGCACTTGATGTCATCGAGTGCGCGTGCTATTGTACTGGATCTTTATACAACCGCGTTTGCAACCGCTTTGCGAACGCGGATCCGCTTCCAGTGAGAATGAGCGGTAAAAGCGCTAATAACACCAATCAAAAACAACGCTTTCACACACACACACACAAAATAGTAGTTTATAGTTATTGAAACCTCAAGAAACGCAGGGCGGGACGACATCCCGAGCATATCGTTATCGTTCCACAGCCAATGAGATTGCCGTATTTTGCCGCTAAAGCACCCCAGAGCCAATCCCGAATCACGAACGTAATCAGCTACACCCTGCATTTCTCAAGTTGTCGGGGACTATTAGCGACGTGCGCGATGAAAATCGTCGCTGTGGTCGAAGCTCGCGATTGGCCAAACCTTAACTTCTTGTATTATGATAATGCCTGCCCAATGACCGGTTCACGGTGAGGCGAATCCTGCCAATCACGGCAAGGCAAATCCCATTCGTGACGTCATGATCAGGATTTGTCGCCACAGCGTGAACCGACAATTGGGCGGGCATTATCAGTACACAGAAGGTTTGGCCAATCGGGAATGCCGAGCACAATGACGCTTTTGGACTTGCACGTCGTTAATACGGCGTGATTCTGCAGGCATGGTATTTCGCACGCTTCCGTTATGCTCAAGGTTATTTCGCAAGCTTCGGTTTTAGCGTAGCTTGAAACGAATTTCGAGCTTGTCAGTCGCCAAGAGAGATGCCAGAGGCACTGGCATTTATTTCTTTTTTTTTTTATTTTGTACCTCGCTATCTAAAAAAAACCGAGTACAGAGATCAGTGCTGAATTCTAACAATAAGCTGAGGGACATTGCTCTACAGATCCATATCTCTGCTACGTTCGAATCCCAAGAAATCTTTTGATGGATCCATATGGTATGCAAGAGTCCCACTAGAGTGAAATAAAAATAAACAACCGAATTCGAGGAGCCGCAAACAGGTGCAGCAGACACGCGACGGTGCCTTTGGAAAGCTTCCACTCTCTCGGTGATAGTGCAGATAAGCGAGAGAGGCTACAAGCCTGCCAAAAGTACCGT